TGATCTTAAAAATAATCTTACTAAACTAATTGTATCTGTGGTATGATCTTGAACGTTAAATTCTCAAACTTCACCAATCACCTCATTATCCTATTCTTCCACAATACATACGTACTACGTAGTATTATAGTAGATAAATGTAAAGAAAGAGCTTTATACAAACAAACTCGCTTTAATTCTGATAAACAAAAATACAATAAATTAACAAACTATCTTGAAAAAAGTCTTAAAAAAACATAAAGAATCAGATTTAGTTAGTTTTCTTTCTAATCTCTCTCCTAAAGATGGACTAGTCTTTGGTGGCTAGCTAAAAAATGTAACAGTGCATATCCATACCACGTAATTTTGGTATCTATTTTGGCTGTTAATAGAGTCACTAACTTCAAGATTGGACAGTGGTGAGTGGTACACCAAATGGAAACGACATGGTATACATAGAAGTGTCAACCTGTGAGGAAAATGTGCAACGACTCCGAATTCACCGTCTAAAAATACACGTCGAACCATAGAATAACTAAACACAGAAATATTCTGTATTGATATTGCAAATGCCATAAACTGGTAATGTACGTTCAGGCCAATCAACTGACACAACCAATTCAATCAATACTCCGTTACCTCTACTGATCATTATTTCTGCGTCTTTTTGGTCCCACTCTACTTCTTTTTCAAAACCTTGAAGTCTCCCCAATCAGCCTTAACGCCAAATCTTCGTCTGACTGAAAAAATCTTAAATGCCATCCAATTCTATCAAATCCAAAAGATTCTTCATGCCCGCCACAAAAAATTTCAAACATTCTCTTTCACCGCCGACCGCCAACTCAAAGTCGTTTTCAAAGATATTTTAGAGAATATACCGACGAGCTTAAAACTGAAATGACACTTTAAAACTTTGAAATGAAACTGATCAGACACTTCGGTCCAGAAGAAAAGTCCATGCTTATCTATACGTCATCTTAAACCAAAGAAATCTTCGAATTATCTGAATTATTTTACCTCGAAATCATCGTGGAAACCTATAAGAAAACTGTAGACCGTCCCAATGCTACTCGTCTCAACAGTTTGGTCACGGGTCTCAAAACTGTGACAACTCTGTCTGATGCATCTAATGCGCAAGCGCAAACAGCACCAGTGAGCTCAAAATGCCTGTGATCAGTCCCCAACTTGTGTACATTTCTACAGTCCTCACATGGCCAACTACCGAAGCTGCTCATCATTTTCTCAAATTTCTAGGGATCTTACTAATTATCAACTCATTCCAAACGAACTCCATCCATCTCTTTTCTAGCCTTATCCCCCGACAAAGCGATTTCTTAAAATCAACCACCTTCTTTGGGCAATCTTCTCACACAGCATATACCAATGGTTATATCGTAAACCACTGTAGGATTATCCATTGCCTATGGGCGGACTACCAAAAATTTACTAAATACGTATCTCCACCGTACCCAACCAATAAAAACCAACGATGTAGATGCTCTAACCAACGGCAAATATTAGTTTGTCCTTACGGGTGACCTTCGCAAAACACCCTCACTGGCATTGCCTTTTCTCAAACGCTGTCGGTAACATATTATACAACCATGCTCAAAACGTGAACTATAGGTACATCATTATAGCTTCAAATCACCCGATGTTCTTAATACCCGATGTTTTAAACGTCGCGTTAGTCCGTCTTTCCCTAACACATCTACGATTTAATCAACTTAAGTAAATTATCCTCAGCCCACAATCCTGCAGCTCTACTCGTCTACTAGTAATCATCTCCTCGCCCACCTTTAATCCGCCAAAAAACTCGATGATCGTTTCCGCCAAATCTATTTCTGCCTACCTGTCTAAATATTAAAGTTTAAGAACCATGTAGAGTAGCCCAGGGGCCACCACGAGGAGGCGATTCTCATTGACCCACAAAAATTGTTTGACTTAATTTTTAGATTAACTTGTTACATACTTTTTATAAAAACGTCATTCTTGAAATCTTTTTGTTTTTGTATTCGTGTATTGGGTTATTTGTATTGATTAATAGTTTTTTTTTATATTAGGTTTTTGCATACCTAAGTTGCAACTGTTAATTTGAATGCATACGCTGTTTTGAACATTTGAAATTAAATTTTTTAAAAATGTGAAAATGTGTGGATGTGATTTATAGAATTGTTCATTAAAATGTGCGTGAAATGATTCAGAATTATTTGTTGTTTTTGAAATAACAGCTTTTCGCTTACAAGCAGTTGCTACTGTTTGCCTAACAATATTTAAACATGACCCATTGCATTAGTGTTCTACAATATAGAAAATAAATACGTACCTAATAAATATTAAGTATTGAAGAATAAATAAGATGAAAATAAAAAATAAAAATTGTCTAACATATTACCTGTTTTACTGGTTAAAACATTATCGTCAACAGGTCAAGAACATAAATAGTTGCGGTACAATCACAGGGGTCACATTGTCACAGTGACTACTTACGACTCGCCTATCTGCAGATGACACTGCATGTTACACGGATTTATAATAATTTATAATAGGTAGAAATTCCTACGTGTAAAATCAATTATCTCTTTAAGATATTGTCAATATCAAATGGTTTAATAATGGAATCAAATGCATCCATCTTATTCTAAAGACTCGCCGTGATTACAAATGGGACCACTTCCTCGACTTTCTCGACGCCGAAACTTCGTAGTCCGTCATTAAGTAAGTATATTATTTAGAGGATGTCAGACCCCTATTATATTTCTCTCTCTGTCTGGTCTCTGACCCACACGCAACTTGACAAATTTACGTTTAGCAACACCAAACCTGTATTATTACTTCTAATATTAGACTTAGTTTTAAAGTGAATTTATTATCAAACTTTAAGTTAAGAACATTACCTGTGTGGCTGTGTCTTTGCGTTGGCTATTATATGATATTTTAATTATTTTGTAAGTTATGAGCATATTATAAATTATTACAATTTAAAAATTTAAAAAAATTATTATAGCTTATATCGATTTTATATAATATTTTATATGTATAGTATATTATGTCTGTGTTTTTTGATAATGAGTAAAAATAGAAGTGATAATTTTTGTGGTATAAGATCCTAAGGAATACGTAAGTATTGCAGAACAAATTGTTTTGTCATGGGAATAAGGATAATATTCATCATTCTTATAATCTTATATCTCCTAGTGAAATTGATTAGTGTCAAATGTCAATAGTCAACATCGTATATAATTTTAAACTATATTGAATTATATAATAATATTATAATAATGAACGTTATTTGTTTATTGTTTAATGTTTATACCATTGTATACCAAGTCACCAGCACCATACAGCTTACAAGAATCGACAAGAATCCTATTTACACGTCTCCGTATGTTATTGTTGTGCTGGGAAAATATTTTTACATTTCAACTTTCAAGTATGTACATACCCTATAAAAAATGCTATATGTTATATGTTTAATGTGTACACGGTATATTGTTCACTGTTGTAGTACCTACTGTACATTGTGTGCACAGTAATTGCCAATCTGCATATTGTTTTAGGTACAATAGGAAGTAAGTTATTATATTATAATAAGCTAATAATAATTTAGAACTTATAACTAGTTAGAACTGCATATTTTTTTAGCACTATCATATATTATTTAATTGTGTTGATTGTTAAAATAAGTTAGTTTCGATGACATTTTCCCAGGCTTCAGAATAAATCTGTAGCCATTGGGCAATAGTGCGATACATGCTTGTTAATCAGAGCTTGTAATTTAATACCAACAGGTAATAAGTAATAACTAATAACAATAATATTATCTATTTAATGAAACTTTAAGCAATTAGCTAAATTAATTGACCATTTTCACTTTCAAAGTTAGAAGTACATATAAACTGTATAAAATATTAATATATAATCATATAACATATAAGCTTGTTGTTGTTTAATGACTTAATAGGTGTTCCATGAGCTAAATTTTTTATAAAGGCTAATACAATTTTTTTGTAAAATATGGGTGTTCCATAATAACTACTAACTAGAGATACTTCATACATCAACCCCCTCCCCCCCAGGTTCCTATTTTTTTTAACTACCTATACATTTTCTGTTGGATGTTATTAGTATTGATATACGTTGAACCAATGTTTGGAAAGAACATACATTCACATTTGTATTTAATGAATGATACGCAAACGTCACTTGTTTTTTTCAAATTGAACTTGAACAACGTTTGTATTTTAATGAATTTGAACGATTTTTAAGATGCTCAATTTATTTGCCATTTAATAAATATATTATGATTCCAATATTTTGATTAATTATATTGTATAATATTTTCTTATTAGAATTCCTATTATAAAAAAATTAAATGACCGACCTGGTGAATGCATTCTTTTTTTCAATGAACGTGAACGGGTTCCTCTTTTTAAGGACTGAACCTGAACGTGAACGAATTATTTTTTAGTGAATGTCCCGAACACTGCATTTAACAATGTTGGCGCTTTTGGGATACATTGTATAATTTCATACAAAAGAATAAAATGCAAACTCTTCTGCAAAAAATATGCCTGTAAGTTCTTACATTTTGTTATAATATGTATTATCGTGTATTATGAAGTTTATTGTTTTTAATCTATATTCATAGTCAACATAAAAATGTCTAACTAAATTTGATTCCACATAAACAATTAACGATCACAGTACATTTAAGAGCTAGTGGGAACCTCCAATTGTCTCAAGTCTAAACATAGCTTAATACTGGCTAAAGTAGTTCTACTTTTTTATGGAGCATAATTCATAATATTAGTAGAAAAATAAAACAATGTCGCTTTAATGGTATTCAAAACTTTTATATAATAGGAAATAAATACAATTAAATACACATTCATTATAATATGTGCAATAACACATAATAGATGACAATAATAAAATAATAACTAACTTATTAAACATAAAATAACAAAAATACATGTCAGGTCATGGCATCAATTCAAATGCTGTACTTTTGGTTCTGAACGGATTACTATTCTGTGTAAAAAAATAAAAATTTAAACATATTTCTTTGTTTATGTAGTAACCCAAAATAGAAAATAACTATGGTACAGCGACATATTTAGATATGGATATATCTCCACAGTCCACACAATTATATTATTTAACATGGGTAAAAACAATCATTAGAGTGAGCATTACCAGCATTTTGCCAAGGGAGTCATAATTTGTTACCATTTAGTCTTTTAAAATTAATAAGCCAATATTATCAATGTTGTATATAAAAATTATAACATTTCTTTTATCACATTTTTGTATTTTTTTAGTTTATGGTCACAGTTATTATATGAATAAGTATTTTGATACTATTGGTCATAACAAATGACTTAGTATACATTTTTTAATGACTGCTAAGATTAAACAATTTAAATTCTTCTTATAATTAAGTAATTGGCCAAATCAAAATAAACTTAATATTTTCATTGCTCTTATTTAATGCTTGATTAAAAAATTTTTCATGATTTTAAAAATTTTGATTTTATATTTGTTGCCATAAATGAGTTATGAGAATAAGTGATTGCAGTAGTTGATGTGGCAATTTGTCTTGCAAGTTTATCAGCTATATCATTACCTTCAATCGCATTATGACTTGGAATCCAAATTAAATTCATTAAATTGCCTTTTAATTGGTGTGCGTGTATTAAACACAGTATACTATTAACTACATCAGATGCTGTATTTATGTTTTGAATACACGATATAGTACTTAATGAATCACTAAGAATTATATAATCATTGAAATTTTCTGCCAACGCATAATCAAGTGCCCTCAATATAGCTACTGCTTCTGCTTCAGATGATGTATAGTCAGACGATAGTTTATAGGTGTATGAATCCTTATTAGATACAATGGCAATGCCAACATTATTTTGAATTTTTGATGCATCTGTATATATTCTAAAACTATGAGGATAATTTTGTAATAAGCTATTGAGACGAGCTTTATAAGTTGCTTGAGAGGTTGATCCTCTTGGCAGTTTGGTTAAACTGGTATCTATGTGTGTTAAAATTGAAGAAATATTGGTTGTTGTATTATTTGTATAAAATGTTGATTGAAATATTAGATCAAATTTTAAATTCATTAACGACGGAATTGAGTTTGTACATTGATATTGTTGAAAAGAGTTAAAATGTTGATTGTAATATATGTTAGTACCCTGGGTTAAATTTAACTGTTGCTGGGAGTTATTAAAAATATTTCTGGACTTAGAATATTGTTCCATTTCAAATTCATTGTTGTACATTGTTTTTGCACAATTAGGTATAGCAGATGGATCGCTGATTATCTTGAACCTCATAAATGGGTCTACAGCTCTTATTTTTAGATTACACGTTTCATTAATCTTTAAGAAAGTTGAATAGTAAAATAAATTATCCATGAGAAAAGGGGCACTTGAGTTTTCTGTGGCCAATTTGATTTCATTCCAAATTAGTTCTGCTAAATTAAATATTTTTGAACCAATAAATGACGATTTATGATGCTAAAACAAATAATTCCAACAATGTTAAAATAGTAATATTATTATAAATAATCACTTAATTATTGAAACTAATTTATTGTTATACAGCCTAGAAAAAAATATAAAAATATCTATTCTAACCTAACCTAACCTAACCTATTCTAGATATTTTTTCTTGGCAAATAGTAATTATTGTTATAGACTGATTGAATTATATTAATAATTTGGAACATTTGAAATCTACATTATCTATATGAATACCTACAACTAACAACAATGGCTACAAACAAATCTTCTGGACAATTTGCTCCTGTAAGATATTACTTATTTATATATTAATATATTTACAATTTTTAATAATAAGTGAATGTGTGGAATGTTGGAATAATCCAGAATGGTGCTGCCCCTAATGTGAATATTTTTGAAGAGAAAATAGGTCCCTGAACCGATTTCTTTCTGGGCGGGAAACCAGAAATTTGTTTCAAAGAGGGGTAATTGAAAAGATGATTAGAATAGTATTGGTTACATGGATACTACTTAATATAATTTTTTTCATTTTCATTTAAAAATACATATTATTATGTTTAATTCTAACATTCAATCTAACTTAACCTATAATAATAAATAATCACGTGGATTAATCAAAACGAAAACTTACTAAAAGAAGATCACTAGCTGAAACTGTTGGCTCTTCAATTAGTGCTAAAAACTGTTCAACACCAGTTCTGAAATTATTTGTGAATAATATGGTATATGAACAAATTTGAGCCATAATTTCCCATTTGTAATTTTCATTATATTTTGGAAATAAACCATTAAGAAAAGGAACGGCATCTTCGCCGTTTTTATGCTTTTTTACTATTGTCATCATATCTTTTTTCAAATTTGATTCTGTATTAATTTCTTTCTAATTATTTGGAAATAAAACAAAACAAATAGTTAAATATTAATATTGATTAATGGGTTCATAAAAAATATAAATCTTAAAACTGCTTGGACACTTTTTGTTTAAAAATAAATAAAGTTTACACTTTGTTGGAAAATTTTAGTTCTATACTTGTATACTTAATGTACCTGTATAATATTAACTCTAATGATAACCAAAACTATAAAGTTATTACTTAGCCAGTGAAATAAATGTTGTTAAAAATCTAATTTTTAAAATTTAAGGTACCTGATGCATAATTTTAAAATGATAACTAATGTTTATTAATTTAAATCATTTAGAAAAATGCAAAGTAAAATATCAGCTAAATTGGCATTTGTATACAATAAGACTAATGTCGATCTGACACACTCAGTGATGCCCTAGGTTTTAAGATTTACATTAAGACCCAAAAACATAAATTTAATGTTCCTGTGGCATGTAATCATGTGCTATAGACAAACATTACATACAATCAGTGTTAGATAATAAAACTATGATTAATGTTTATAAGGATTATATATATATATATATAACAAATACCTATTTTTTTTTTATTGAAATATTAGCAAGCTTGCTTATTATTTCGACACAAGTAATTAATGTTTAAAGTCATACACCAGTACACAACCCCTAAAAAAATTCTTTTATGCTTAGTTTTGATACTTGGCAATATGAAAAAATATCAAGGAAACAGAATAATATGAAATATAAAAATGTATGATTAAAACTGATTCTGATTTGATATTTTATTTTAAGTTTTCCAATAATATCTCTTATTGTCTAGTGTCTACCGAATAACGCACATAGTATTCCACAGTACCTCACACATTTGTCATATAATATTTGGTTCCGTGTATAGATTTTACTTGCTCACTAAAATGTTGTATTTTACTGTTTTTAGTTTTAGTAACAATAAATAACCAACTCATCGATAGAAAATCGTAAAAAAAACTCTCCAAAGTTAAAAAATGGATCAATTTTTGTAAGTGCAAAAATTTTAATCCAACCAATATTGATAATTTTATCACATGTTTTTCTAGTGAAAATTATAAGTTTTAAACTTAAAAAAATACTTTAAAAGTAGTTAAGACAGCACCTAATAAAATCATAGATAGCAATATGTAGTTGTCCCTTAAAAAATTGTTAATTGACAGGTTTTGAAAACCATTTTGATAATATATTATTATGATTATTATAGTCTATCTTGACCACTCAAAATTTGATGAAATAATATCAAAATTAAATTATCTTTTCAACATTTTAAATCTAAACATGTCTTATAATAATATAATAAAAATATAAAATTATGAATATTGGTGCGATTAAAATTTTTACACTTTTGTACAAATTATATTGTTATTACTAGGGCTCAGAAGTTATAGTATATATAATAGTATATGTAAACAAGTATCAAAAAATGGCAAATATGCATTAAAAAAAAAATGATGTTATTAATTTGCACTAAAAGAATTGTAAAATATGGAAAAACAAATTTATGATAGGTGCTTAAAATATAGCCGATAACCGTTCGACATTTTGACATTTTATTGAACTGAACAACTTCGTGAAACAATAATCAAAAAAATAGTACTTCAGAATGTTAGCACAATAGAGATTAAATGCAAATCGCACCATTCTCGTTAAAATCTTAAATTAATAGTCGACTGCGACTTTAACAATAAATACCTACATTAAATAATATTGAGTTATATATTCAATATTATTATTAAAATACACAGATTTAAAAAAAAAAGTATTAAATTATATGCATAATATGTACACGAAAATCAAAAATAAACACTTTTTCTTTAAAATATACAAAAACATACAAAATATGCATTTTTTATTTTTAAACTCACAATTCTATAGCTCAGATTTCTAGCTTGATCTGTTTTGAATTGAGAGCATGTATAATAATATTCAACTTCTACAACTTCCAAGCCTTAGCTATTACAATAATATGACATAGTAGTGAGCAAGTTAGAGTTATAAGTAAAATCTACACTCAGAACTAAATATTTCACAACAATCCAATGTAACAAGCCTGACAACATGTACTGGAGTCTGGAATAATATATATATGTATTATATACATACACATATACATCATCCGGTAGATAGTATTAAGGGATATTATTTATAAACTAAAAATAAAATCAGTATTAAACATACATAATATATTTAAAAATCGACAAGTGATAATAATATTTTCATACATATTATTCATATGATATGCTGCGGTTGCCTACCAGTACTCCATGGACACGTAACAATTATATGAAAAAATAAAAAATAAAAATAAGATTCTTAAACCGTTAACTTGAATTGTACTCATGTTATCAAAATAATAAAAAACTTTGAAGTAGGTAAAGTTCTTAATGCTTTTGTAAAATATTGATTATTTTATCATAAGTACCTATTGTGCAAGAAAAGTTGTCATGCGCAAGACAGTTTTACGAACAATTTGCTATATTGTACATTCATAAGACAGAGACCACACATACGGATACCACCTCCTCTTATTAAATTGTAATCACCAGTTAAGCATAGTTCTTTGCCCAAACATTCATGAGTGCCAAAAGTGAGATGAAGGTGGGAAACCTACTTTCAAATAATTTAAATAGACCTTATTGTAATAATAGTTTAAAAAAAACTATAATGTACAGTTTGTAAAGTTTTAGCAACTTTGAAATAAACAATCTGTTTTTGAAATAATGAACCCATTAGTTCCTGTACATTTCACTTAGTACCAATAATCAATATTACACTGAAAGGACATAGTATCGCATGTTAATCTTATACACATGTAACATAACAAATATATTGTTAAAACTTCTCAACAAATTTAATATGTTAAGTTGCTCTTATATTAACTAAACAATCTATGGTAAGAATTTTTAAAATAAATTTTTTATGTCCTGCCTGTGTAAGACAGAGTACATGCTGATAAGAAATCCACTTAAGAGGAAGTCATACCCATGTGTATTATCTCCGTCTTATACACGTACAACATACCTAAGTTTTGTTCACCAGTTTCAATAGTGTACTGTTAGTTTTGATGTAAGAATTAATTGACCTATAATACAATTCAAAGGTAAGATTATTGTTTAGTGCCCCAAGTAGGTTTTTATTGACATTATTTTTAAGTAATTACGACCTTTTTAGAACTGTATATTAATATGTAAATTTTAACCTTACGGGTATGACATCCTCTCAAGACCAATTGAGTCAATGTTTATTTTGTAATTTTCAAGTTTTTATCATCTAACATTATTCACACTTGACATTTTAGATGGATAACCCACTCCTCTATAAAACAATATAAAATCTTACGATATATTCTGAATCATCTGTTTTTATAACAGGTAATCCATTTTGTGCCACTTGAAATTCATTGTCCATCAATTCATTTAAAGAAGTCAATACTAGTAAATTAATAGAATAAGTATTATTTCCATCAGAAGAACTAATAGCTTGCTGAATTGCAAAGTTAATTTGATTTTCTGTTGGACATAATGCATTTTTCTGCAACAGTAGTCTCTCAGTTGAATATAACTCGTGTGTATACACAAACTGTCTTTGAGCAGTCAACACCAACGAATAAATATGAAACCAGTGAGAAGTTGTAGGATCCAATTCACATGCTTCTTTAGCATACTTTGATGCATTTTTAAAACATTCAAGACTTTTACCATATTCAATTAATATAGCAGCTCTTGTGGCATACACAGCGGCTTTGGATTTATTATCCATGTTGTCAAATGGAACGATTTCTTTAAGTAACTGAAAATAAATGCAAAAATTAAAATTATCACTTTTAAAGAGTAAATGTGAATAATAATATTAATATTATTTTGTCTTATGGTAGCATATTAATAAGTTTTTTTTTTCCAATATGGAATCAATATCATTCTACGTTTTTTTATATACCTATTCTATTGTTGTAAACAATTAAGTATAAAAATGGACATTGTTTGCTATGATAAATGAAAAAACCTGTAAATCAAAACAATAATTTTTTTTTGTAATAATAATAAAAACACAGTGATTAAAATATATAAATAAATTTTGATGATATAATTTTAAAAGTAGCAGTATTAATAGGCATAGCTTTACCTAAGTTATTTTGAAATATCTGCTACCGATTTAAAAAAATTAATCACTTCCCCGTGGGCGACCACTCAATTGTGTTTTACAAAACATTTAATTTTATACTATTTCCACTAATTATATTTAAAAATAACAATTTACCCATTTAAATCCTCCAGTTTCATTTGCAGCAAATAACATATGAACAAAATTTGCCATTTGTATGTGCTTCAAGGCTGAATTAATAGACAAGTAAAATTTATCAGTACCTTTATCCAACTTTTCGAGCCAATTACCAATTTCCAAAATGTTTGTATCACTTTCATTTGGTTTACCATTTTTATATAATTCATAGCTTATGATTAAATTACCAATGAATCTAAAGAATAAAAGATAGTCATCAAATATTAAATAATACTGTTTCAAACAAGGTTTAAATAAATGTATCATTTAACTGTAAACTATATATATTTTTTTTTACCCACAAATATAACTTAATAAATTAATAGAGCAAATTATATAATATAAAATAATATTGGAGTTCAATAAAAATGATTAGTAAGAAAATGTCATAGATTCACATTAAAATATTCATTATTAATTTGTCTTATCAACTTATTATAATTATTGCCTTATAATGTACCTACAAAAAAACTTAATATATTGAAACCAATATTTTAGTTTTATTTCTCTAAGATTGAAACCAATTAAGTATTATTATCAAATAACAAACTATTATTTTTAAAATAGTTTGCCCTTCTATGCTATATGCTGTTTTACTGAATTCTAACAATTAAAGTAACTACCAAACCCTTATTATATGAGACATTTGAATGCGTTATTCATATTTAATTGTTGGATATAATATGTACTTATTTAGTACTTATAGCCGTGTACCTCTATAGAATCATTAAAATTAATTAGTGTTACAATTCATTATTTGAAACAATACTACCTTCTTAATTATAGTGACACTCTATACCTATTCACTAACCATTATTTATTATCTACCAAGATAAATATTGTAAATACTTAAAAATGCTAATGATTGACAATTGTTGAGGGTTATTGAATTCACATAGATTAGACAAATTAATAGCTGAAACATATTTACCTTACAAATGTAAATTCTGATACAGAAATGTCTAAATTGTAATTACCATATTTGTTTTTAATATGTGTAATAATATCTTTCTTCTTTTGCGATTTTAAATTCCATGTAAATAAACAATGCAAAGATTTTATTTGGTTTAATAATTGTGTATCCTTGGTATGTTCAACAGGTGTTTTGTTTTTATTTCCAATTATTTTAGTGTCATTTACACTACTAACCAAATCAGAATCAATTGATAAATGTTTAGTACTAATGTCCAAAGATACTACATTAGAAACAACTATATTTTCAGTAGAATCGTCATCTTTGATTTCATTCAATAATTTGAGAACATCAATATTTTGTCTAGTATTCTCAATGGTATTTTGTTTAGATTCCCTGTTATTCTTATTTTGTTTATTAGATGCAGTTACAAGCAATTTTAACATTGAAGAAAACATTTTTTCTTCTTCTAATAAATCAAATCTGTTGATGAAAAATTATAAAATAAGTGTTGTAATAATAGTAAAGTGAAATTATAAAATCAATTAAAAACGTATATGACGGAATCAAAATAAATGTGCTTACACAGTTTGTTTTAGACTCCTCAGGCTACTAGAAATTAACAGACCTGTGAATGAACAGTATACCCAATGAGTTTATGGTGGACGACTTGATATTATATCGTAAACGCTGAAAACCTTTGAATTCATTAGAATTCGTCTGAAAAACAAATGAATATCTAACACTTGACAACAGCAAATTGCACAATCGTAACAAGGTATCCAGTCAATCATTAAAATTGAATTTCTCCGGTAAAAACAATTAAGTAATTCAAAATCTGGCACACATATTTACGAAGTCTCAACACAACTACTGCGCAGTTACGGTCACATACAGGTCGCGTCTATCGAGAAATAGAACTGACGTCGACTTGCGAACGAGCACGGAACACAGGACTCCCACTTACTGCAGTGTACTATCCGTAATGGCGTAATCTGCTGCGCTACTTTGGTTAAATAATAAATATATATTTTGTTATTTTTTCATGTATACTTCTCGCTTATATTGAGTTATATAACCATAATAGCCATCACTTACGAGCCATTGCCAAAAAATTTAGTAATAAGTATCAGCCATCAGGTAATAGATATTATGTTATGCCGTGTTCTTCTTATCTAATAGATACCTAACAACCACGATTTAAGATAATATATCTAAAGGTATATCTTTAATCGTGTAACAACCTAACTATATAATCACTAGACACCGCAATTTAAGATATAATATTCCAGAAAATTAGATGTAATATATTGTATGATAATGGAAAAAATGAATCGCAAATGAACCTATCCGGAGGTTTCGTTGCCGCCGTTTCATCCACAGAATATGGTTTCGTCCCCGTCAAAATAACAAGTTCACGGACGTTTCGTCCCCGTATATTGTTAGGATAGGACATTTGGCCCCCGGGATCTATATAGATTTATTTATACTTACGACTTACCCATAGGACGTTTGGCCCCTGGTTAGGTTAGGTTATTACGTTCTAAATTAATTAACTCAAACAAATAATATAAGTAAAGTAACAAGTCAACAATTTTACGAGCACCTTTATAACATTATCGATAAATATTTATCTTAATCGAAGGTCTTCTTATCGACAGATGTTACCTTTTGCTCTACTATTATTTATTTGTCAAACAGTGGAAAAATGTTAGAAATCCAAGTCTTTCCTATATTTTTTTTTTTTACTCTTAAATATTTGATGTCACGAAAAATATGCTTGCGATCACCCGTCACTCTTTCAATTTTTTTATTTATTTTTTTTACATATCGGTAGGTACATAACATATCTAACTCTAATTTATTGTAATAATTGTTTATTTTCTTATACACAGTATTTAAAAAATGAATATCTAATTTATTGGTATTGTAGTAGAATAAAAATAGAAAAGAAAATAAAGAGAAAAAGTGCTTCACGTTGGGCGCCAATTTGTAGTAGAATGAAAATAGAAAATAAAATAAAGAGGCCTCAAGTTGGGGGCCAATTGTAGTAGAACAAAAAGGAGAAGGGTAGAAAGTGGATGGTAGCGTGGTATACTACGTGAGGTGTGTGTGTAGTTATTCGATCTTTACTCTACTACTAAATAATTTCGTGATTTTATAGGATATTAGTTAATACGTTGTGATTGGAATAGAAATATAATTAATATCACTTACCTCGTTTGAAGCAGGTCGATGTTCTAAGTTGTGGATATTTTCAGCAGTCTGCATGGTTGATCGTGGTTCGATGCGCGATATTATTGCAAACTCTATTAGACTATTGAACTATTCGAGACTCTATTAAGCTCTATTTGAACTCTTACATTGTATTGATGGATAATGGAGTTAGAAGAAAAGTGTAGATTGGAAATTGAACGATAGGTTTTATAAATAATAATAAGCTGCTTTTAATATGATATAATCACAGATGCCAATTCAAATCAATGAGACCACAATAGGTGTATTAAAATAAGCGCGACTTGATGAAAAGAAAATGAGAGAGAAAAGTACTAATTATTGTTTAAGGTTGTAAAAAGGGGTCTGTGGTACTTATGGGATACGTTGTGAGCCTTGCGTGCATGAGAAAACTGAGTCGTGATGCCATGCGAGTATGCGACGTCATGCATCTGAAAGGACCTAGGAGCCCTACTGGTCATATGTATGGAAAGAGACTTGCACTGGGCAATGGCATGGCACTGAGACTGGCCTAGGAATGGCACTGGGACCGAGACTGGCAATGGCACTGGACCGAGACTGGCACAGAGAATGGCTCTGAGACTGGCCCTGGGACTGGGAATGGCACTGGGACTGGCGTTGAGACTGGTTGTGTGTGCCCGTTATATTATAGGTAGTAGGTGATGCCTCTTCTTAAGGTGTCTGTAGCGCAGCATTGTGCGCGGCAGGTAGTTTTAGAGATTCGCGCATGCACCGTATGCTCGCATTGTGACGCATCATGCATGTATTGTTTGAAGTAATGTTTGATGAATTTGACTTGATTTATGTCTGACATATTTAATAGCTTTGTTATTGATGGTTTCGTGATATTGTGGCTAGTTGCGTCATCTTGGCTGCGCTACAGTCCCAATCGCCTTGTTGTTGTGGAGATGCCGATATCTTGCAATGGCGATCTCATCAAACGTTTTCTTTTGATATGTAGATTTTTAATTGGTCTGGATAGTTTTTTTGTGTCTGATTGAAGAAAATAATATTATTTTATATTTCTGTGGTTATCATTGCTCTGCTGTCGATGCAGTTTTAATTATAAGCGGCGTTATCCTTTCTTTGGCGGCTCGCGTTTTGACGGATATGGGTTTCGGTAGCTTGATATCTTTATGATCGATGAGAAATAATATTATTCTGGATTTTCGTATTTTTTATCGCTCCATAGTTGATAATATTATTTTTAATTGTATGTGGGCATGTGGCGGTATCTTTTCTTGGGCGGCTCGTGCTTAGATGGATATGGGTTTCGGTAGCTTAATTGTGGGAAGGTAAATTATTTTATATTTAATTGATTAGAAGAGATGGATAGAGGGTGGCTAAACCTGTTTAGTTAGAGAGACTTAGAGAAGGGAAAATAGGAAGTTCCAGGTAGAATATTTAGGTTAACAATGCCGAATACGTAGGAAAGAATCTTGAATTGCAAAGGCCAATCGACTAATTAGCTGAAACCACATAGTGATGGGTTGAAAACCTCGACTTATGGGATAGAATAAAAAGTTTGATAGGATGTCAAAGCCAGTGGCGCAACTAGGGGGATGCAAAAAGGTTTTTAGCACCCCCAAGTTAAAATTTAGCACCCCCTGTTTTTTATATCTAACTTTTATTATTTTATTGAAATACCATGAATGTTATGTTTTTAAATATTATGATAAATTTCCTGAAAAAATATTTAATTCTTTGGTCGTAAGTCTTATAATATAATTCATTCTAATTCATTCCATACACGGATATTCCCATAATAATAAAGCATGGTTAAGATCAAGTATGCTTCAGCAAAGGTTTACCAATTTATCTTTGCTGAATATTGAAAAAGATTTATTAAATCAGCTTAACACTGAAACTATTTTAAATAAATATTGTATGAAACCTAGAAAAATTATGCTAATTTAAAATGTATTATATGTATATAAGTTATTTACTAACAAAATTATGAAATTATAATGTATCCTTATGTTACTGAAATTTTAGCAAAAAAAGTATTATAAATTTATTTTATTTATGTGAAGTGTGTTATGTTAATATATGTTATAAAATGTTAAATTATCGAGCATTGCAGGCCCATGTGTAGGGGGTGTGGGGGGCCAAGCCCCCCATGGCTCTGTGGTGCATTCCCATATTTAGCACCCCCTGTTCTAGAGGTCCAGTTGCGCCTATGGTCAAAGCACTGTTTGTTTTCTCTCTTTGACCCACGCGTCAACAAAAACAACCCTATATTGTTATTTTAAATATTTGGTTAAATAAATAAGTTATTATTTATTATAATTATTATTTAAAAATTATTTAAGCATTTTAAGCTCCATAATATTTCTGTTAAAACATTAAGAAAATGTAATTACTAACGTATGAGTGCCATACTTGTGTTAAATTTGAGCTTTAAAATTATAATTTTAACTCTTCAAATCTTAAAATATTTTGGAAGGTTTAACGAATAGACAACATCAAAAATACAATAATGGTATTAATTATTAAAATCGTTTTTTTTTTAAATTATAATTATCACTTAAACTTAGGTAATATTTCAACTGGCATACGAATTGTAATTATTATCTAAAAAAAACTAAAAAAGTACTTGAAATTGTTGTATGTAGAGGTAGATTACTCCCTTATTTTTGTAATAGATTATGTTAAGGTTTCTGTATGCCAATTTACTCTAACTATAGCATGGTTGAATCACTATTCATAAGCTGATGACTTGTGTATCCAAAAATTAATAATAAATAAAATACCCATATTTCTTTTATAATCGAATTGGTATACAATATCTATAATATTTTGTATTTTCGCACTTTTTTACCGACAATAAAAATTAGCTCACCTTTTTGTTTAACAATAAAAAAAAATGAATCCTGACTTTTTTAGTCACTTCTTTAGACTTTTATTACCATTGCTTATACAGTCGTACAAAATAAGCAGAGCAGTGCCGGCGGCAATGGGGGTATGGTGGGTCGTTGTCACCCCCCCCCCCCCCCCCGTTTGTTTTTTTTTTTTTTTTTTTTTTTGTAATACATATTTTCGAGCCCGTAAACAGCTTCGATTATAATTTATAGAAACACTATACGATCGATAAAATAATATCACGACGACTCGTCCTTACAGTAGTTTATAATGCGTGAGGTTCCCATCATAGCTTTTTTTTTTTGTTTCCGAGCACGTAAAACGAGAGTTATAGTAGTTATAATACCACACTCCTCTATCCGTCGTGTTGGAAGCATTAAGTGAAACCGTTTAAACGCGTTATAAAATTAAATTATAAAATTTTCAATATTTTAATCGACGGCGGATAACTCTTGATGTTAAATTTAATTAGAAATTAAACTACCAAACAATACGATTACGACTGTATGTCTTACAATAATAATTGTCCGTCTGTGTGGATCGATAGTGACGAGAAACAACCGGTTGAACAATAATAACGTACCTACTTATCCCGGCTACAGTGAATAATAATATTATACAAGTAATCATGATCCCTCGGTGTAGTATTGGTTACGATTTTAATTGGGTGCTTTCGATGCTCACCTATAACATTGCTATCGTTATAAGTTATCACTTTAATATGATTATTAAATTTAATTAATTCTAAAGTCACTGGATTATAATACATGTATGGGTGTAGACTCTCTATAGTACAAGTTACTACACACACAGTATTATATACATGAGATATCTTTCTGATATTTCAAACGCAACGAGCCAAATAATCAAAAGCACATAAGCACACAAACGCAAATTGTAATAATAATAATAATATAATATTAATGTATTATTTCCGTTATCTTCTCTCATTTTCTTCCGAGAGCAATATATTATTAGCGAAATCAGACAAAGATTTGGTGGAAACCACTGGCTGCAAGTGCCAATAATGATAATAATAATAATAATTCAGTGAACTTGTTTGAACATCAAAGAAAAAAAGATCTATTAAACAATATTTTGATAGCTATTGGCTTTAAAAGTAGTAATGATTATATATTATAAAAAAAAAAATACAAAACGAGGTGTAAAATGAATTGTTTGAAAAGCAAATAATTAATAATTATCATGATATAAATTTAACTATAAACGTCGTTATTGAGGGACGTCTTGTGATACAATATTATGAAACTGATAATTTGAGTTAATAGTATTCAAAAAATCTTACTGGAAAAAAATATAATAACGACCATAACTGAGGCGACACAAGAGAGACCCGTTCAACCGANTTATTTTCCAAATTAGTCTTAATGACTAAAGTAGCTTCTATTGTATTGATGCATAAATTACCTCGTGACTTTGTCCAACAACTGTTCATCAATGAAAATATCTCTCCACTGCAGCGTTAGATCCAGGCAATGCAAATGCAAATCCTACAATTTTTAATAACATAGAATAATCAATATTATTCTCTTTAAATGACTTATATCGGTCCTCGGCCATCTCGGAAATTTCCGACAATTATTTATTATTTGTTATTCACATTTCACACGTGAACAATTCGGGACTTATTTTAAGAAACCGGTACTTATCCACGTCCCGGCCGGGAAATGAAAAATATCGGGACTCGGTAGTAAAAACCGGTAGTGTCCCGGCGAAATCGGGACGAATGGCAACCCTAAGTTACTCTGATACCTACAGTACAAAGTCAAAATCCATAGTATATATATTTATACTTAATGGGCTGCATCACTGTGCCATGTCGATGTCGGCACTCGAATACTCGACTATATTCGGTTAAGGATAGGCCGGCCTATGGTTCAGAGCTGAGTGACCATAGTAATGCAAATAAAAAGAGAGGGAGAATACCCTCAAAACAATAGAAAAAAATACGCCCTCGTGAAATGAAATTAAGTAAAGACAGTAAAGTTGCCAATCTGGAGATAAATTACCTCCATACAAGAATTTAGATAAGTTTCTACTGTTTTCAAATATCGATAGCCGACTGGCAGCTTTCAAAAATATTTATAAATTTAATAAGTTACTTGAGCAGTCAGCCCCTCACCCATCAAATTTTGGACTCTTGTACTAAATGTTTTTGCGGAACGTATGAGCATTTGAGCAATTAACTCATCTACATTCAAAAATGTAGGTTTTTTAGGTAGTTTCTATAATGCAATGAAGTGTTTGTACAAGACATGTTAAATACTCAAATGCATCATCTTTGTGTAAAATACATCAATGTCCGCTAGTAATTCTCACCAGTCACCATATATAATTTAGTATGAAAGGTTTTATGATTAACACTTATAAAAATGTCCTTATATTAATCTAATTTGAAATTATTGTTGAAAATATCAATTATATGTAAAAGATCGTAATGAAAAATGTAAAATAAAAACAATATCTTTTGTTGGAAATCGTTTAAACAAAAATTTTAAAAACATGTAGCCCACAAACCTAAACCCAACTCATGTATTATAATATTAAGCTATATGAAACCAGAAATACTTTAAGTATCAGAGGTAATACAAAATGTATACATTATACAAATAAATATTTAAATACATTTCTCTTGCAAAAGACAAAACCAAGTAAATTTGTATAAGTTAGGTAATGTAAACAGGAATTAATGAAGGAATATGAAAAATACATATTTATAAAACGCTATGTACAATTCAGATAACTATATTTATTCTACATATAAAAATTAAAAATCAAATCACCAAGTAAGGTATTGCAAAAAGCAATATATTCAAAAATTGTGTTTTATTTTAATATCTACTATCTATATTACATTAATAAGATTGAATAAATACAAGTACAATGAGATAATATTTTGAAGATCTAATAGTGAAATGTAGAGTAAACAAAAAAAACAAACTTATATTAAGTGTCGGTAAAAATTAAAAAGGAACAAAAACAAAATTAAAAAGATTATTTACCTAACGGTGAAAATCAAATTAGCTGACTAGAAAATTTAGATACAAAAAGGAACCGAAAAAAAGTTGTTTTAACACAATTAAACAAATATTAAACAAAAAATTTATATTGACAAATAACATGATTAATTATATTTCTACATGCATTAAGAGTTACAATTCTTTAAGCAAATACCAGTGCAATGTTAACTATAGTCATTTGAAAATAGTTACTATAGTTAAAGTAATAAATCATCAGATAAATTTTAAGTGAATAATAAATGGATTTAAAATAACCAAGATATTATGTAGTATAGTCAGTATAGGTACCTACATTTTATCTGCAAGTAAAAATGTTCATTACGTGTTAAAATATTACTCAATACTAGGATTATTTAAACATATGGTCAAAATATGCAAATTATAGTAAATATATTATTTTGAATCATTAATTGAATGCATTAAAGACATTTATAATATCTTTTTTCGTATAAAATCAATTAAAACTATGCAATATTTTAAAACTTAAAGTAAAACTATAATTTCTAAAAATCTATTAGTAATTTAGTGATAAATTAAATAGTAGAAAAACAATTTTACTCGGTTTCAAAAGAGAATATACCAGTTCTAAGCCGGTGAAATGACGGCCGCGGAAGCATGGACCCCAATTTTCCCCTTCCACGGGTCACTATTGCATTTCAGCGACAATGCAGTTTTTTATTTCTGAATATGAACGAAGAGACCCAACATGATACACCCAGGGAAGGCTCCAGATACTTGGATGGGAGGGGGGGGGCTATCATAATTTTTAGAAAACTTTTGATGGTATATTTTTTTTTGCAATTTTGTTTTAACAGTATACTGTTTTTAAGAAGTATGAGCCGTGGGGTTGGTTGTGGGAGGTGTATGTCCTAGGCATGTAGGACGAAAACCAGTTGATGCCTGATACATTCTCTTTTGAAACAGTTGCCAAATAATATTGTTAAGAAAAAAACTAGGGAATGTAGTTCAGAGGAGTTCATATTCTGGATGTAATAATAAATATTTTATGCTAGATATTGCAGTTGTATAAACATTTTAAATGATAAAACAAAAATTTAAGAACTAATTATACATTTTTCTATTCAAACCATGTCATTAAATAAATTGTTCTTAAACTGTGTACATTGGTGCAACTATATTATTACTATTAAAATTGAATAATTTAATTTTGAGATTTAGCATTTCATAGCTAGATATTGAATCTCACGATAAAGGCATGATATGATCGGATAATTAATATTAGTAATATATTATTATAAATTTAAGTTAATAAAAATAATATTTTTATTTTAATTAATATTCAATGCAAATAATATTAATAATAACAACTACTTTTTTAATATGAACTCCTTTCATCAGATTTATTAAATTAATTATAAATATTGTTTCAATATATACTTTTATAAGATTGCTAGATAATAAACGAGTTATACAAGTATAAAAAGCTAACGATTATCTTAAATTAAATTGGTAAAATAATAGCCTATCATAATGAAATTAAAGCAAATGCAGGATATTTTAAGTTCATTCATTCTTCTTTAGGTTCTTCAGAACTTTGGAAAGGAGGGCCAGCAGCTTCATCAACTTCAAGAGATAGTTCTTCAGGATCAGGAGCACGGGGCAAAAATTCAGAATCTGGATACATTTTTGAAAAAATAGATTTTGCCTGAAATGATTAAAACATAATAATACTTAAATAAAAGACATCTATTTGAAACAAAATAGCAAAACATTTTTTTTTTACTTGTTTAACAGCAAACTCATAATCAACTGCTAGATCAGGTCCTGAACACAAATGTACATTACTCGGAACATTTTGGGATAGATCATATTCAGATGTTTCAGGACAATTAAAATATAGTGCATACAGAATTTGAGGTTTTAATGACTCATTTAGTATGCTTGACTCTCCACTTGAAGCAGAAGAATCTCCCTAAAATATCTCATATTAACACTTCAATGAAAGTATATATTACAAAATTAAAATACCTCTTTTGACGTTTGGGTTGATTGAGTATCGGTATTTATTCTAATTGTAGTGCCATCTGCATATTCAGAATGTAATAATGCATCAACAGCTGGCTTTAAATCATTTACTGCATTATCTATTTGTTTAGTAGTCATGTGTAGTAAATCTAAAATGTTTAGATTAAATATTAAGTAAATATGTAGGTAGTTGAATCAAAAATAAAATTGTGCCTAGTACTTACAAAGTCCCGGAGGGCAAACATGAGTGGATGGTCCAGCTTCAATTACTGTTATTGGCTCTTTTCCTTTAATTGGAAATTGAAGTAATGTCAAAGACTCCTTATCGGTGGTAGATATTGATCTATCAATTATAAAGATGCCTCTTGAAAGACCTGCTTTAGGAACAGACCCTAAAAATTCTGGTGGAGCATCAGCAACACCCATTACAAGATGATCACAATCAAGCCTTGATCCATCAGATAAAATAGCTTTACATTCATTGTCTGCTGTTATAACACTATCAGCTGCCCGTTTCAGGTGATAAACACCTCCAAAAACTGCGCATAGCCTAAAGCACAAATAAGTTATTTCACTGAGTAATAGATAGTTTCTTTAAATATGAATGTAGTATCATACCGACAAAAACATTGTGGAAGTTCTCCAGTACCATACATGGGCCACAAAAATGGTGTGTTACCATAACGACCAAGGCTACTTAGGAATTGTTGGGTTCTTTCAACACCAACCATACATGGTGTTGTATCATTTGACATTGCAATAGCATATAATACATAATGCATTAGATTTTCAGTTAAGCCTTTGCTTTCTAGGTATTGTTTTAATGTTTTATCTTCAAACTCTTTAAATTCACCACTTTCTGGTTTATATTCAACACACAAAGTCAATAATTGCATTAATTGTCGTTTTTCAATAAGTCCAACATTCTTAGTAGCAAAAACATCTGCTCGAGAACATGGAACTGTTTCCAATTTATCAGATTGCCATGTAAGAATACGATTTACACATCGAAATTCAGCATAACGAGAGATATTTGATGAAATAAGTAGTTCTACCAGTGTGCCACGGGAGAAAAGTAGCTGCAACAGATTAATTTATCAATATAATTTTGTTGCATAAGACAAATATTAACTAAAAAGGTTTTAAATTATTTAAAATATTACAAAACTAACTTTGGGAGCTAAATCCAGGTTAAATTTACGTCCCATGGTTTTAATTTTAGCTTGACACCAAAGTTTATCATTTTGTTTTAATGTAGCTTCAGTTTCGGTCAGTCCATCTTTACTTTCTTTTGGACTATCTTCAGTTTGAGTAATTTTTGCACTAAGTAAATTACCGACTGAAGGAAGTTTTCTACAGTAAAATATAAATTTAATGAAAACTAAACAAGAAAAAAATATATTAAAATGTCCATACTCAGGTATAAACCATTTTTCTTCAATATTGAATACAGTTGAAAATTGATTGCCTATGGTTATAGACTTCTCAGTGTCCTGCACTAATGGTGAAGATGTTTTCACAAAATCATTTGTTTTACCATTTCTACATTCATCTAACCACTTTTGGAGAGCTTCAAATGTAAATGATGCCCACATACCACCATAATAGTCATTTCTATGATAACAAATACAAATATTTATGATTAGATACAATATGATTTTTAAATAAAATATTTTAAGCAATTTTTAGTGGAACATAATATACCTATCTAAATGTAAGACTCGTTTTCCAATTCGACTAGCAGCAGCTGCAACAATTGACTCAGTCATACCTGAAATTATTTCATGTATGTGTTATATATTTAGTTAATAGAACAACAAAACAAATACTACATCCTTAACTATCACTATAAACTAACTCCCAAAATAACTACTGTTCATATAGTCAATGTTAACAACTGAATTTTTTTTAAATTCTCAATAGTTTTTAAGAATATTGTTTAATGTATAAAGTATATATATATATATAGTAAACAATTTTTAACAAAATCTTGAAGCGGCTATCTCCCAATATGCGGTCTACCTCCGTTTTGTGCACTTAGTTTCATAGTGCAGAACTAATACAATATATAGTTACCTTAATATCAATCTAACATTATAATATTAAGATGTATCTATCTTAGTACATGATATTACTGCATAAGCATAATATAAATACAAATCTTAGAATGTTCACAATGGAACATCAGTAGAGAATAATAATTACCAAAAATACAAAATATCACCAATATTAATTGGTGTTCAAACAAAATTCAGACACATAGTCATAATATACATTTATATAATGATTAATAACAATAATTAAAAATATGTAATTTATACTTATTAGTTAATTTCTATAATTATTGTTAACAATTATAGTAATCATACATTTTGATTTATGTGAAAACTAAGTAACAAATTAATTTTGAATTTTTTTACTTCTTTTTAGAGATTCATAAAAGAGAAAACATATATTTTTATTTTATGGTTTATTTAGTTTTTATGAAGTATAACATAATAGATAATGGAAATTCACTTTCTCGGTACCATGACCAATAGACCATATAAACTCTGATTACATAACAATTCAATGAAGTGTTAAAAATAAAATATAATATACAGGGTGATTCACAAAGCATGTTCATCCCCATTTTTTATTTAAAAATGAATTTATTCAAATTCTGATTTATGGAATTTTTAAATATACTCAGAGACCCATAATTTCAAATTCTTGAATTTTTTTGTACTACTCGAGGGAGTGTCCTATGGTAATACAAACTTCTGTTTTTAAAATGAGAATCCCCTCTTATACTGTAAATTAATTAGTAGATAATTTTTTTGAAAATTTTGATGTAGCACATTCGAAATTCGAACATGTAGTTTTTTAAATATTAAAACGTTTGTATAAAGGATAATAGTTCTTAAAACTGGTGTCACATAAATATAAAATAGACATAAAATTGGATCTAGTATTTACTATACTTGGGCCATTTTTACAAATTATTGATATAGATAGATTAATATTAATGGCTACAATTATCAAATGAACATAATCCCCATATCTTATAAACTTATTACTATAGTATTACTATTGATTTACTAAAATTTAAGTGCTTAACAATTGTATACAATCAAAATTGAAAATAATAATCTACCAATTCAATATTTGATAATCGATAATAATAATAGGATTGATAACTTTTTGCTAGGGAATGAGTAATAACTGAAAACAGTGATTAACTTTAACTATTAAGAATGATTAGAATCCAGTATATATATTAAATATATCATAATAAATCCGAGATTCCATATGTTAAATTATTTTCTTTTTTAAAACACAAATTACAAGGTAGGCATAATATTATCCTCATTTGAACTTCATTCAAGAATTTGTGAAAATTCCGATAACTATTGGCCTTTGAGCTAATGATTTTGTTGATTTTTGTCAAACATAAAATTTAATTTCCATATTAATTCCGTATTGATTATATTACATAACCTCATCATTTTTGTACTAGAGAAAATTGCAATAATTTTTAAATATTTAGGTACAAAACAATAAAAATTGTAACTCAGTAATGAAAAATTGTATTGGTGAGTAAACATTGAACATCAACATTCATTAACTTAATCTACCTCCTTTACACTTATATTATATATTGATCCTCGGCGACCAACCTACCCATGTAAAGGGCAGAAAAAAGGATAAAAAATAAATATCAATTTCAACAAATGATGATTAAAGTGCAAACATTACACTCAGAATTCTAAAAATAATTATATACGTATAAAATATATTACCAGTGCCAATGACGATCACTTCATACTTGGATGGTAGGTCGTCCTCCATATTGAAGAAAATCGTTCGATTTTTACTGAATTATCTTAAAGCGCTAGTCCGTTCCTTTCGAATGAGAAATCAAGTTGACGATAAAAGTTTGACGCAAAAGAATGCCTGAAAAGAAATTGGAAAACGAAAAGCAAATGAATAATATAGTAATTCAAGTATTCAACATCGGTGATCCCCGATTTATAAATGTAAATTGTAATCAGTGGTGATCGTGTATTATCACTAACACTTTGTATTTTATCGATACGAAGAGAAAAAAAATGGTAAAATTATTAATAATTCTATTTTATTCCATACCACGGTCGCAGACTGATGGAACTACAATAGTACAATGTTCTGAACAGAACAATCGCCTCGAACAAAGTCTCTACAATCTCATTGCTTGTACATACATAAATTATTCCATATACATTATTATGAAGCACAGATGTCATATATACAATATAATAGAAAATATATCTTTATCAATGACAAAAAATATATTTTAACACCGGTGCAGTGGGTTCCAGTCACAGTAGAGTATAATCCAGCGCACCCGACTCCAGCCTTCCTACACCGTGAAATACGATTGGCCATAGATAAGGAACCTTTATCAATTTCGAATGCCGAATAGTGATTACGCCATTGGCATTTGAGTCATTTGACGTGAATAAATAATAATTTTAACTTTAAAGTTAATTTTGTATTAAATGCATACCGTCTATACCTATTGTATTACTTGTAATTACTAGTTTGTACTAAAATCTATAAGTTTATAATAATTTTTATTCTAACTTTGGTTCGCAATGTCTCAAGAAAAAGTGATTGAAAAACCTCTGCAACAGTTTGTTGTACAAGCTCTAAAATTAGAAGGTGACAGTTTAGTAGAAGTTATTAAGCAAGCGTTGGATTGTGTTGACACATTTGTGTTTGCGGAACTCTTAGAATGTCCCAACGTTATTGCACTAGAGACCACACCTCATGCACCATATCTACATGCGTTACGTATGTTTTCGCAAGGTACGTATTTGGATTATTTGGACAAAAAAAAATATCTGCCAGAACTCAGTGAACCCCAAATGAAAAAACTGCAATACTTAACAATTGTTACATTGGCCAATAAAATGAAAAGAATACCTTATGATGTTCTTTTGAAAGAGTTGGATGTTGACAATGTCAGGGACTTGGAGGACTTAATTATTGAAGCGATCTATTCTAACGTGGTTTCTGGTGAACTCGACCAACAGAGTGATTATCTAGAAGTTGATTGGACAGTTGGTAGGGACGTTGGAACTAATGATGTTGACAATATGATAGACACATTACAGCAGTGGTGTGATTCCTGTGAGAGTGTTCTTTCTACAGTTCAAGCTCGAATTGTTGATGCTAATCGAACTAAACAAGATGTACTGAAACACCGTGCTGCTGTTGACAATGAAGTTGCTAGCGTGAAAAAAGCTATTAGAACTCAAATACAAGATGAAGAAATGTCAGTGGATACTAGCGGTCCTACAAAAAAAAGTGTGAAAGGAACAAAACCTAGCGGAGCTAAATTTTGGAACAAGTAAATAAATGTACAATATCTAATAATAATTCACACATTACATTAATTTATAATGATTATGATTTTTTTTATATAAAATGGTTTTAATGTGTATAAATGAGCAGACTTAAGCCAAGCCATTAGTATATAATATTTTTCCTAACAGTCTTTTTAATTTAATTTTGTGGTAGATTTAGGTACTGGATATACAAAAATTAATTTTTAGATGTATGATGTACCTGCAAACCTATCATAATCTTCATGTTAATAAAGATTTTTTTTTTTATAAATAGTGTTAATTATTATTATTTACCATCTACAAATGTGTTATCGGCAAGTATGATGGTTAATGAATGATATATCTTATGAATTATTAACAATTACTAGAAAACTCACATTAATGAAAAGCCACTCTGCAGCCATCACCCAACTAAATAATTTTTATTTGATTAATCTCTAGACTAAATTATTTTGAGTCTTCTGCAGACAATTCCTGTTAGTGAGAAGAATAATTATGTAACTGCTATAAGTTTTATTTATTATGGATTGAGGAGTATTATTTCTTAGCTATTTAGTTATTTAAATTTAGTACTTTAAGTATTATGTTTTTTATTAGCCATTCACAATGTTGATGGCATTAATAAATATATGCAGGTAAACTGAAATGATTTTAGGGTTTTGACGCATCACAGAGCTGAATTCTGGTAAACAGGTTAGATTATAGATTAAATTGATTGATTTTTTTTTTTTTATTATTTTTTTTTTTTTTTTGTTAGCTTTTAGTTTAACTATTACAGCTCTACAATTATTTGAACGATATAACAAGATAGAATTCTATAGAATACAATATTAAAAAATGTATAAATAAATGATAACAATGGAATAAAAAGTATTAAAAAGTAAAGTAAATAAAGAAATCATATTATGAAACCAGCCTCCAAAATAAAATTAATAATTATATTTGTTACTATTTCCGAATTGGAGTTGAGGATGAAGGAAAGGTTGAGAGGAACATTGATGGAATTAAGAGAATTAAATAAAATAGCGCGTTTCGCTTGCAGAGAAGGGCAATCAAAGAGAAGATGAGAGAGATCGCAAACACTTTCGTTGGGATGTAGCATACAGAGTGGTGAGTTATTTAGTCCTAATTTGTACGAGTGAGCGGGTAGTAAAGTGTGACCAGAACGTAGGCGATGAAATTGTATGATACTAGATCTTGGTAAATTGAATTAATTTATTTATTGTGAGTTAATTTGATATTACGGAAGATTTTAATTCTAATAGTGGTCTGAGAAGGTACAATCTATACTTAAGTGTTTTTCACTTGAGTTACACCTAGACCCCATGTTAGTTTAAGATGTTTTAGTTTATTCACTGTTAGTAGTATTCGATTATAGATTCTAAATTTCATAGTAAAAATGTTATACTTGTATGGATTTTGAGTTTAACTTACTTATTTTAATTTTCTAGCAATACTGCAATATGCCTGTAAGGCTGTAAATGTATCATATCAAAGTGATTTTGTAACCTTCTGACAGCTGTGAAATGATCTTGTAAAATGCAGACACACAGTAAGCAGTTATTTAAGTGGCATCCTGTGAAGGTGTAAAATATTTTTGGGATATTATAAGTGAACATGGAAGAGAGAAATTATGCGATATCACTTTCTTACTTAATTTTCTAACTATTTTACAGTTCATTTAAACCCCCTTTATTATTTTATTTATAATTATTTGTATTCATTCCATTTAATAAATTAATAATTACTTTGTTACATTGTTAAGAGGATGTTATACCAGCATGTGTTGTAATGAGAATCAAAACTCTTTTTAAAATTAAAATATAATAAAAAGCCCATGAGAATCTCTCCGTAATAATCTTACCTTTAATTTTAATAAGAGGTCAATCCACTCTAGTTTTTAAGATAACTGAGCTAAACGTGATCTGCTGAGCTTAAAATGTGGTATGTTACTCACTTGGAAGGCGGAGACAACAAATTCAGATCTAACGTCCTCTTAATAAAACTAAATGTGTATAAAACCTTGAAATCAAACCCAAAAGAAAAAACACATTTAAAACTATTATAGTACCAAATACTTAGTCATAAATAAAAATTAATAGTATAATAGACTGTTATTATTTATCTTTTTATCGATAAGATGAAACCATAAATTAAAAAAGCTGGTAAGTGGATGTCGCTCAGCTGTACAGTAGGTTACAAGTGGGTCACTGTAATGGATGGTGTTAAATTTGAATTCAATAATATAGAATCATTGTATATGAAAAACGATTCTGAGCAAAGATGTTAGTCTATAATATAACTTTGTAATTTAGTATATTTGATGATATTATTGTGCTATAAATAATTTATTTTAGAAGTAAGCATTAGTACTACACTGTAGATTAAATTCATTTCTGCCAAAAAATGATGTTAATAAAGTCATTGGGTGTACTACCTTTATAATGTAATAATAGACTTTAAAAGTTTCAAGTAAATATTTTTAATTTACAACAAAATAACATAAATCATTTTTCTTAGTTATTTGAAATATGGAATTTCATAATGAAAAAATAAAAACTGCGCTTATATATTTTTGGATTTTTTGGTTAAGGAATAAACTACTTGCTTGGAACTTTGTTTTGCATTTTCAGCCTTTAGCTATTTGAGTTGAAAATTATAAAAATTTAACTTCAAAATTATTTGTACATTTTCTATGATATGAATTTTTGTCAACATTTGAACTTTAAATGCTTATAAAAAAAAATTGTGCCAATGTATTTTTAATATTTTCTAACTGATACTGCAAATATATTTAAGAAGCCTTGTATAACATTTTCAAGCTTTTTGAACCAACAAATATAATTTTATTGACAGTTATAGAAAAAGAAACTTATTCTTAGATATAAAAAGAAATTTTTTATGAATTTCTCACTCAAAATAATTTGAAAAATTTTGTGATTTTTACAAATTTTGTCAAAATTCTAAATGAAAACCCTCATAAAAAATTATTGTGGATTTACCCTCAACTTTTTTTTTAATTTCCACTAACAACAACTAACGGGGAACCTAGTATTACACTTACAAGTTAATTTAGTTAGCTTAGCACAAGTCAAAATGTTTTTAAAATTGATGGTGTATAGAAAACGTGGATATAAACATTCATTGAAAATTGTATGTATCTATGATATTTTTTTTTAGAGTTACAATAGAACCTCTCTAATCCGTCACTTTCGGGACTGGTGGTAGGGTCGAAACGCGAAAAAGGTCGTATTATCAGAATATACAGAACATTTTTGATTACATATTACATACCTACTTAGATTATATTAGAAATATATTATATTTTACATTACGATTACTTAGAAAAAATGTCAGCTCTAGATATTTGTTTAGCAAATGACATTCTAGACTTAGCTGCAATATTCCTCCATTTCTTGATCCAAAAAATGTCCATAGGCTTTGAGGTGATTTTGAAAATCCAAAAGTATTTTTAAATTATTCATATTGATAATACTATGGTCGGATCAACTGGAGTGGCGGACAAGAGGGATTCTACTATGCATCAAAAATTTTGTTAAAAACTGGGTTTCCTATTTTTTCCTGTTACTTTTGAAAGTTATTGGGAATTTTTTACTTCTGACCCCCCCCCCTCCCCTCAAAGTACCTACTAGATTCACTCTCCTACTACAAAAGATGATGTTAAAGAAAATCAAAGCATTTTTAATATCCCAAAACGTGGTTACAGACACAAAAAAAAATTAAAAACACATATTATTGTAAAATTAATACATTCATCTCTCAGCGCAGAATTTAAAACCAATAAACAGAAAAATCAAAATAGTAAATATTTTAGAACAATTTTATTGTTATTTGTTAGGTACCTAATAACAAAGTCAATAAGTAAAAGTAGTTACAAAATACATCATAAAGTGCGAAACAAATGTATATTCTAATAACCTAATACCATATTTTAAAAAAATATTTATATTTTACCTAATAAAAACTATAAACACTTGAAATAATTTAATAAAATTTAATAACTAGTAAATAATAAAATATTAATATTACAGAAGAGAAATGTTTATAAGTGGAAGAACATTAACAAATTGGCCAAAAACTTTATGTTATGATTTAGTACTATAGAGTGTCCAGTGTTGATAGTATAATAAATAAAATACAAGTTTTAACTACAAAAATATTTAAATATCACATGATTGGAAAATATTTATTACATATATAAAGTTATTGTAATGTCACCTCTAATTCATTATTTTATACATTAATTTCTATAAAAAAAATATTCCTTAGGTTTACTTGAATGTTTTGATTAAAAACATCACAATTTCTTTAAACATTGTCCAACTTCATTTTCATTATTGCTTACCTATAACAAAATTATGTACCTATTTAGTTAAATTTATTTATATAAATGCTTATACAACAGTCAAATATAAGTTATTAAATAATTGATCATATAATTGTTTTACATACTTTTTTTATATAATTTTTCTTATAAAAGTCTCCAAATAAAACCAACATTGTAATAATATAAAAGACAAATAAATATTTCATCCATAATGGCCAATTACACCCACTTTGTATGGCATTAATTCCTAATGGTAGAGCAAACGAAAACTGAGCCTAAAAACAAAATTATTAAAATATAATATAAGGGAATATGATTGTAAAAACTTAAGAAAAAGAAAGGGTGAAAAAAATTCAGTAATAGCCATCAAAACACATAAATACTGAGCTGCTTGTACCTAATAGCCAAAATAGTATTTCTGATATAAATGTAACATGAGAATTTTAAAGTAGGTATTTATATAAGATATAGCTAACTAATCTAAACTGATTTTTAAATCTAAAAACCAATTTAAAAAAGTTGAAATACAAACTGGCGTTAAATATTTATTCCTGGGAAATATTCATTCTTCCCAAGGCAACTTAATATTTATATAGATTTGAAATTAATACTAAATAACTTCATTCCAAAAAAAATCTTAAAAATAATAATTATCTTTGAAGTACATGATGTAAAATAGGCATTTAAGAAAATTGTAGAATAATTTATTAATATCAATACATTAAAACCTGCTTAAGACGCTCTTCATAGGACCAGCTCAAAAGAGCTTCTTATGAAAGCATTGACTCGTATTTAATTTAAATATAAAACAGCATTTGGCAGAAAACAGCATCTCAAGTAAGTTTTAGTGTATTACGCTGTAACTAATATATATCTGATCTATAACTATAATTAAGTAATGATTTTTACCAATTGAATGATTGTAACAAATTTTTTGTATTTATGGATTTTTGAGCATTGTATAGCAGCTAATGTATAGTAAAAATACATTATGACATGCACAGCACTGTTGATTAATATCGGTAGAAATGCTGAGCCTCCTGGTACATATTTTGTTCCTAGCCATGAGAATATGAACATTGTTGAATGGTGATAGACATGAAGAAATGACAGTTGATTATCTTTCTTCCGAAGCATCAAAAATATTGTGTCCAATAATTCGAAAAATTTAATTATATAGTACAACCATACTGCTGTTGCTATCTGTGACAAATAGGCTTAATTATTTTAAATTCTAATAAAGTAAATATTTCTTTAAACCAGCCGAAATATAGCTTTTGATTAAGTCAATTACAAATATTTTCTCAAATCAACTTGAATACAATTTTTAATGTACCTATTATAAAACTGTACCTAATAGGTAAGTATAACAGGTCATTTTAATATAGAAAATCGATAAATATAATTTTATATTTTTTTAACTGTATCTTACATCAATATGAGAGTGTTCAATTTTCAACTTTATACACCTTTCACATGCATAGTATTTCAAGAGAAAAGTGTTTTTAAATGCAAAATTAATTATTATCAACATCAAAATTTACCCTAAGCTCAGCTTCTGCATTGACATAGGTTATTGGCTGACACATCCAACTATAGTTTAATTTAGTAGTCATCAATGTCAACTGGAAATATATTTAAGTTTTTAGATTCTAATTAAACTTGAAGTAATATTTTCATTACTTCTATTATAATGAATACATTTGCTATTATCATTATGATATTGTATATTATTAGAATATTTTTTAAACTGTATGCTGCGTGATTTTTCATGTACCGTGGAGTCAGCCATACTATTAAAAAATAACAAAGAGTTATGGTAAGTGTAGTGAAAACCGAATTTACCATCCACCATCCTCTGGTTCTGGTATCTATAATAACAATAAAAATACACATTGTCACAAATCTATAGTAACAGTATCACAAAACACATTGGATTAAATTTGAATATTTCTTTATTCTTTCAAATTTAAATATAATTATGATTTATGACCAAACAAAATTACCGCTAAGTGATTCGGTCCATTGATTAAAATGTTCAACTTGATCAAATAATGTAGATAAGTTGTAATCCAAACGGAATACTGTAAATTCTCTAAAATAATAAATTAATCATACATCAGTAAAAACAATTAAAAATACCTGAAAATCTATCGTAAATTTGTAGTTTTTTATTATTATATAGTATTATAGTAAATCAAAATTGAAATGTTAATTTTTTATCCCTTCCTCTCACAAACTCTCACGCACACACTTACAAAATATTTTAGGAAACATTTGTTTTTTACACTATTAGAATAGAAGAAAAACTATAATTTAATCCAAACAGTACCTACTTAATTGTCTAATTATAACGACTCAAAATATATGACTTGTATAATTATAAAAGGAGATACAGATAGTATTAAACGGCGCTCTGTATAGGCATTTTATGGTCACGCATGTAACAATTAATAGCGCTAATATGAGATAAAAATGTTACGTTATACCCTCATAAGTTTTCTAGTGTTTTCGTTAATTGTACAACTTTAAAATGCTCATAATTTGCTTCTAAATTAAAATATAAAAGCCTACAACGGGTCAAGGATAATATAAAATTTTTATTTTTATTTTAAATTTGATAAGAGGCAAATGCACTCTAATATTAACAATAAATAGTAAAACGGGTTCTTCTGAATAAAACATTTGCCATGTCATGAGTTATTAAGATGGAAAGAATACACATTAGGTTAAGATATAGATTGATGACTTCGAAGATACACTAACCGAGTCAATTAATTTTCTAGCATGAAAAATAAAGCAACGGTGAATTTTAATTTTTAAATTCGTTATCATAAAACCATGTGTACCGAGGCAAAGATGCACTCTGTATATAATATACTCATTTACCTTACACACTATATTAAATCAATGACTAATAATATGTACCTATATATAGTAATATCTAAGTAATAAAATGCCATTAGTATTGTAATTCCATTCCTTAATTTTATTTCTAACTTCTAACAAACTAAATATGATAAAAAAATACTTTAAAAAATATACATATTATTGTTGTATATCTAGTTTAAAGTAGGTATAACGTCCGAATAGATGGAATAACATAGGTATAGCTATATGTGTTAAAACTCACTCATTTTGTGCAGTGTACATTGTAATTTGTATTGTATTGTATTTCAGTGTCTGCGAAACGTTTAAGACTATGTTATTTGTATTTATATATTATATATTAACTTTTCATAGACTATGAAACAGGTACTGAATAAAAAAAAATTGAATAGTTTGTGTAAAGGCGTACCACGGGCTCTTACGTTGACAACAAAAGATACAATTGTTATTATTTAATAAGACCAAACCAAGTATCAACTATCTATTTTTATTTTAAAACGTGAACGAAAAATTAAAACGTATTTGTAAAACGAATAACAATGCGTACAATATTATACAGTGGCGTGCGTACTACAACGTACTATAACAAACACTCCGACGCCGACTGCCGTACCGGCGAACGAGAGAAGATCAATGTTCAAAAAACCATTGCGCATGCTCAGCCGCTGCAGTACCTACGGTGCATTAAGTATAATATTATATTATAATGTATTATTATATATTATTAACCACCACGGGTTGAAACAAGCAAGATATTAGGAAATAGGAGGGTGTGTCGTGCGAACTGCACTACTGCGTATATATCAAAAGAAACGTTCAACTATCATTGGGGTTGTGAATTACAGTCAAAAACCTTTAAAAATGCACTATAAATCCTGAAAAATTCAATTTTGTTTTGTGGTTTTAAAATTAAAAAATCTATTCTCCACGCGTTTTGTGTATGTTCAGTATCAGATAGCCATCTCATTTAATTGTAAACCCGTCGCAGTAATATATATGTATATAATATTATATAGGTACATATTTAAAAAATGTTAGCTACCTACTATTATTTTACTACTTTGGAAACTTTTATATTTATTTCAATTTTCAAATGAATAGTTTTCGGTGATAATATCATATTATATTTAATTTACAGATATTATCTATTAAACCGAAATGTTCGATTTTATGATAGTTTAAAATATGTATCATATTTGTTAATTTTTTATCAATGTTATAATGGTGCATTAAAATGCAGACGTTTTCGACCGCTGTTCACTGCCCAGTAAACATTTATTAATTATTACTATTTCATTGTAAAATAGGATAATTATTTACAGTTCACAAATTTTATATACGAAAATAAAAATGATATAATTATTTAAACTTTATGGACCTATTTATATTGTTAAAACATATATTACCTATTGTTATTCACAGCCTTAAAATTAAAATATTAGTACCTATATAGATGAAATTTTATTTCAATGTATTTATTATTATAATGCATAAAGGTTATTTTAAAGAATAAAATTGAATTCATCGATTACTATTAATATTTTTCTTAAACTATCCTTTTAGTTTGTAGGAATATGATCAATAGGTACTATAGTATACATAACGATAAATTATGTTATTCGTATGCCTAATTAGCAGGCATTGCATTATTTCAAAAAAATATATAGTTAATTTGAATAATCGTGTATAGGAATATAACAAGTAAAAATACCAATGGAGAAAACTGTTTATAATTTTATAAAAACATGTCACAAATGTACTTAGTCGGTAAATGTATACTACGTCAGCTATATACATAATAAATGTAACTAAATGCCTTAGCTAAGTAGCTTATATATTATATGCTCAAATTTTGTTTGTGATTAATACAATAGTCAAGGCTGAAAAAATCCAAAACAAACGATCTTAAAATAAATATAAATTGTTTTCAGTTTTTATACACTTTTTGTTTATAATAATAATAATAAAAAAAAAATACAAAGTAAAAGTTAATTATTTTTTGTCGATTTACATGCCACAATTTTTGTGTAGTTGTAATTTCTATCGACGTCTGACTTATTTGTAGCATCCTATAAAAAATGTATGATAACAAATAACAATTAATGAAGTATTAAATACATGATATAATATAACATTTATGCAGTCTAATCAGGTTGAATGTAATACGATTTCTTATAATATTAAGACATTAAGTCAAGGAAGTCGATCAACCATACGTATATGCCATATGGTATGTCGCTATATCAGGTTCGAGTGCACTTTATCATTGAGCAGAGTTCCACTGTAATGAATTTGTCAAATTTGAATCAATGACGAAAAATTATTGTATACGAAAACGGTTTTGAGCAGAGACGGTGTTGAATTTATTTATGTTACCTAGGTACTTAAATTTATTTTCCTATTAATAATACCTACTATACATTAAAATAAAGTTTACTAAGATATTATGGCATATAATGTTATAGTATTATTGTATTAATTAATATAATATTACATATTTACATTGTATACCTACCTACCATTGTTGTTAGGTAACTCATAAGTTATAAGTCAATATCAGGTACCGCTATAAGGTATCGACGTACCTATATACAGTATATAGAACAGTGTATAGGTTCGTCGTACTCGTACATAAGTAGTTAAATATTATTTTTAATACTTTTAAAATTCATTGAAATGGCAATAATGATGTCCCATAGGAAGTGGCTTTAAAAAAATAGCATTTTAAGAATGGGCTCACACAGGAATTTTGTTTAAGCAAACGGAATTTAAATATTTTGTTATATAATATATTACAAGGTTGTCATCGAAAAGTATATTCATATTGTATATACGCATTGCATACACTGTGATTATAATTTATGAACATACAAAATTAAATGTAATATTTCATTAAACACGCACCGATACATTTGGCTACCAGCTATCTTTTTGTCCGGCTAAGTCTTCGATACGAATGAACCGATTATGAATGGATTTTTGAATATTATTTTTCACAGTTATTTTATTACCATGTATAATGTATATAAAATAGTAATTATGGCTGGGTTTAATTTCACAACTGTATTTTACATTTGATCAAAACAACTGAAACAACTCTGTAGAAAATTTAAGTTTTTAAAAAAAATTAACTGAAAGCCTACTTTCTCAATAACCGGAAAAAACAAAAAGGTGAACCACCATACAGTACACAGTACAGAACATAGGCGGAGATCTTGTGAAATATTGAGGAGGGCTCAAATATTTGATGACAATCAGACGCGTGGGGGCATTGCCCCCACACCCCCAACAAAGTAATTTTTATATTAAATCACTCATAACAAATTATTCTCGTTTACTCGTTAACATAACAACTTAAATAATTACAAACATAAAAAAAGAATAATTAATAAAATATTTCAAACCTATTTGAACTAAATTATTTATTAAAAATCTAAATCACAATCTCAAAAGAAACGTATTCCCAAGAACATCAAACAATAAGTAAAATATAATTTAGTATAAAATGGTCAATCCGGTTACGGTAACGGTATGAATACAAATGTACGATACGTCGATACCTGTTACAAAGAAGGAATACGATTTATTCATTCAATATAAACTTTACGATAGGTTTAATACAGCTATAGCGATAGTCCTCTAATAACTATCGCTTCTCGAGAATTAACAAAAATTAGAAAAGAAGTAATATTTTTTCCATCTACAAATAGAACGGTATAATATGTTATTCAATATTGATGGCCAATTGGTACAAAATGTGTACAATATTAGGTATAATATAAACACAATAAAATATTATTGTGAAATGTGACTTAATTGTTCGGTATGTTACCGTAAATAATAAATTGGTAAATAGTATGATGTATGTAATGTGTGTACTAGGTACACTTATATAATTGTGGATATAAGAATATAAAATAATGAAAAAAATTCTTCAAACTGTACAAAATTACGGTATTGTTTGTTTAATATTCTTAGGGGGCTTTAACTTCAAATTTTTTTTTTTGGGGGGGGCTAAGCCC